AGCCTGTAATTTTGCACCTTTGGGAGGCTGAGGTGAGTGGATTGCCTGAGCCCGCACGTTCAAAGACCCTCCTGGGCAACTTGGCGAGACCTCATCTCTACAATAAATCAAAAATGAGCCGGGCGTGGTAGCGTGCGCCTGTAGTTCCAGCTACTTGGAAGGCTGAGGCGGAAGAATCGCCGGAGCCCAGCAGGTCGAGGCTACGGTAGCCGGGAGCAGACACTGCACTCCAGTCTGGGGGATAGAGTGACACTCCAACTCAAAAAAAAAAAGAAAAAAAAAAAGAGTCTATAGTCAGAAACACAGTGACTCACTCAGTTTTAAATGGGATATCAATGAGCCATAAATGATTTCCCCTAAGTGTTTTCATTTTACAGCATTTACCAGATACAACCGATACTCAACAACTCTCATACCACAGGGCCCACACCATCTCCATCCATGTCTGATGTGAGCCCTTCCCAGACCATGCCCCGTGGAGCCTCCTCATGAGATCACGTCACTGGGTCACGGGGAGATGGAATTTAAGTGGAGACGAGAGGGACCGAGGGAAGGCAGGGGCGAGTGTAAGCAGACACAGCAGGCAGGACATGTCAGACCCAGACAGGAAGGAGACAGGACAATCCACCAAGAAGGTCACTTTACCTGAGAGAGGGCCATCCCTGACGCCTTTTCTTGCCTCCTCCTCCTCTTCCGGGCTTCCTCTTCATGCACCATGAAGCTTTAGATGTCAACCTTGGAGGGCAAAAACACGCTGTTCAACGCTCAGAATCAATACACTCCTGTTCTGGGCCACACGCACAGGGAAGACCTCACCCTGTGGAAAGAAGGTCCTCTGCTGCCCACTGCACCAGGGGGACACAGGGATAATTAACTCTTACAGGATAAGTGAATCTTTGAGCCCTTTCTTCAGAACCTGCTCCCCTCCTGGGGAAGCCCACATACTCGCTGTAGCAGTGAGGAGCTGGGCTGGCCTGAGCTCCCCTCCAAGGCACAGACCTGGCCCTGACCAAACCCCATGCAGAGCACAGTCCCCCTCACCTCTCTCTGGATCACAGGCTGACCTCAGCCCTCAGAAATGGAGGACGCAGGGCCTTGTTGCTCCATGCTAGACACCAATTAGAATCAGTGTTAAACATGCTTAAGGCTGGGCCCAACCTGACTATGGAATGGGAATCTCTAGGAAGGGGCGCAGTTATATACCTCTCCAAAATGCCTCAAGACTGTAATGTGAAGCCAGGGTTGAGCTCCACTCAGAGGGGGCAGTCTCAGCATACCTCCCACCTTGGGACCTTGTTGTCACCAGGATCCAGACAGTGGAAGATGAAGCAAAAAGAAACATGCAGAGCAGGCAATATGGACCAGAGGTGGGGGTGAGGGTGTGACCAGAATGTTCAATGGAGGGTTGGGGTGATCACAGAAGTCCCCACTGAGAAGGCAACATCATAACAAAGACCTGGAAGGGAGAGGTGTTTACACCTGCAGCTGAGGGGCCAGAGAGTTCTAGGTAGAGAGACAGCTCAAGTGAGACCCTGAGGCAGGAGCAGCCTCAGCCCCAGGAAAAGGAGAGAAGTCTGTGTGGCTGGAGCAGAGTGAGGAAGGAAGACATAAGAAGAGATAAGGTCAGAGAGGTCCTGTGGGAGTAGATCAGGGAGCGCCAGGGCTCTGCATTTCTCTCCCACAGCTCAAGAGAATTTTGGAAATGATGTATTTCCCCACCATTACAAGTAACTCTTTATTTATACTAAAAATTAAAACATATACTTTAAAAGCATGCCAAGGTTTTCAGCTAAGGCCCAGTTAGGCTGGCCCTCCTCTGAGATGTGCAGGACTGCAGGGAACATGTTCGTAGAGTTCAGGAAGTCACTCCTGGACACATGAATGGGGAGAGGCCTGTTAGACATCCCAGCAGAGTTGAGGGGACAACTAGACACAGGATTCTGGAGTTCAGGGGAGAGGTCTACAGGGGAAATGGAGATGTGCAGGCTGGTTTAAGGCCAGGAGATGAGATGATAAGGAAAAGCAATGGGTGTGGACAGAGATGAGAAGAGATTCCAGGACTGAGTCAGGCGTCACTCCACATTCAGAGAACAGGGAGATGAGGAGACTCCAGAAGAGGAAAGCAGAAAGTGACCAGGGAAGTGACAAGAAAATCAAAACATTTGTAAAGGTTAATGGGATGTTTTGAAAGCCAAGAAAAAGACAGAAGGATCAGATGTGTACATGCTGCTGACAGAAAAAGAAAAATAAGCACAGAAAACTAACTATAGAATTTACAAATGGAGAGGCCACTGGTGCCTCTGCAAAAGAAAAGCTCAGGGAATGGTGGATGTGCAAGCTTAACTGAATGGGTTCAAGAGAGAACCGGAAGCAAAAACTGAAGACAGAGAATATAAACAGGTTTTAGCATGCTGTGTTTTCTAACGGAGCACAGAGGAGAAGCATTACCACAGAGGGAGATGTAGTTAATAGAGGAGTTTAGTTTGTTTATTTTTTTGAGTTGGAGTCTCACTCCGTCACCCAGGCTGGAGTGCAGTGGCACGATCACAGTCACTGCAGCGTTGACCTGTTGGACTCAGGTGATCCTCCTGCCTTGGTCTTCCAAGTATCTGGAACCACAGGTATGCGCCACCATGGTTTATTTTTTTTTGAGTTGGAGTCTCACTCTGTCGTCCAGGCTGGAGGGCAGTGGCACGCTTACGGCCACCACAGCCTCGACCTGCTGGGCTCCGGCGATCCTTCCGCCTCAGCCTTCCAAG